CCTAAACCTAAACCCCTATAGACCCTAAACCCTAAACCCTAAACCTGAAACTTGCCAAAGGTCCTGCCAAGGCTTTTGTCGTCTCCGTGACCAACCGCTGCAAGAAATCACCGCCGAAGCGGACTTCAAGGAGGAAGTCAAGGCTGCTGGGGTCCTAGAAGCGGTTTAAGGGTTTCAGGTTTGAGGTATTTAGGGTGTAGGGATTAAGGATCTAGGGATGAGGGTTTAGGGATTAGGGTTTAGGGATTAAGGATTTAGGGATGAGGGTTAAGGGATCAGGATTTAGGGATTTTGGGTTTGGGGATTAGGGATTAGGGGTTTAGGGGTTTAGGGTTTTGGCATTTGGGTGTAGGGGTTGGGGTTCAGGCTTCAGGGTGACTGCTGCAGTCCTGGAGATGGCCCACACTTGTGCCATTCACCTGTAGTTCCCTTAGACCTAAAATATACACAATATTTGTAATATTTCCTGAGGGTTATACTACAATAAACAACTCCTAATATTTGTATTACTGGTGATACTAAAACTCCTGCATGACCTTAGCCTACTCTAGCACCATTATTCCCAAGATATAAACTACTTAGGGTCATTCAGGATTTTTAATATCCACCGTATTTCCTTAGGGTTATACTACAATACAATTACAAATAATTCCTAAGGACAGTACAGTTACTTCAAAATGCGCAAAGTCGACATCCAAGCCGAAGTAGAGCACCACGCTGTTGCTTGAGAAGGTCACCACAACAGGCACATGGGCCCGGCCCAAATCAATTGCCTTAGGGGTTTAGGGTTTAGGGTTTAGGGTCTACTAGTCCCGATGTATTCCCCTATATTCTCGTAGTTTCTATTTTCTTTTCCATTACCTACACCCTAGACCCTACCCTCAACCCTAAACCCTGAACCCTGAACCCTGAACCCTAATCCCTAAACCCTAATCTCTTAACACCAATCTCTAAACCCTTACCCCTCGTCCCTCAACCCTAAGCCTTAAGCCCTAAACCCTAAACCCCTAAACCCTAAACCCCATAACCCTAAACCCCAAACCCCCTAAACCCTAAACCCCAGAACCCTAACCCTAACCCTAAACCCTAACCCCTGTTAACCAGAGGCATGTTGCTCCATCTACGTGGAATGCCTGCGTCGATCTCGTCAGTTCAAGGGAAGCCAGGGCTTCGTCACTTCCCACGCCGGTCCTGGCATAGATTTAGGGGTCTAATGTAGACCCATGATTCATAAACCACCTCCTTTTAAGGGCCTTAATATGAGGATCCTTACAATCCCTATAATCAGGGGTTTATAGTAGGTTTAGGGACTAGGGTTTAGGTTTAGGGTTGTGGGCTATAGGGATATGTAGGAATGGAATAACACATGAAAAGTACCTTGGGGGCGTCCTGAAGAATGCTTAATTCTTATGGCTTCGAGGAAACATAGCGGGTCGTGATCCATAATAATTGAAAATTCTTCCCAGGGATACCCTTTAATTCTCATGGCTTCTAGGCTTCTAGGGAAGATAGAGGGTTATGGTCCATAATTATCTGAAAATCTTCCCAGGGATATCCCAGAGTCAGCGTCAGCGGGCCGACCTGCAGATGAGGAAGTTTCCCTTCCGCAGAGATACCCTCCTTACCTTAGTTGCTCTTTTAATCTCTCAGTAAAAGCTGTAGGTGTACTGTAGCTCCCTTAACATGAAATGGAGGCAGCCCTAAACCCTAAAACCCTAAACCCTAAAACCCAAACCCCTAAGACCCTAAGACCCTAAAACCCTAAACCACTTCGTAGTAAAGTTCCACCAAGTTACCAAAGCTGAGCTCCATGTAGAAACTCCTCTGCAAAGTTGGAAGCAACAAAAAAGCGGTTTCAGGATTAGGGTTGAGGGCTTCTAGTCCCCTAGATAGAATATAGCTTTGGATATACTTTCATAAGATCCCCATATACCCCCTATTCTACCTACTAAAGGGGGGACTGTGGGACTGAGGGATTAGGCTTTAGGGTCTGGAAGCTCCTCTGCAAGGTGGGGAGCAACAAATCGCAAAGAATGTGTAGGCCTTGCCTGGGTTGCTGTTAAGGAACTTGAATTATGTTACCATATTGGGGTTAAGGGTTTAGGGTTTAGGGTTTAGGGTTACTATATTGGAGAAACCCGATTATTTGCTATATATACCCACTATAGTAGCTTAATTCAAGTTCCTTAACAGCAAACCAGTTGCTCGAACTGGATGGTCCCGATTGTCGTCGCGCTTGGCGCGACGTGCACCGTGAGATTGTGCAGTTCGAAGAAATCAGGCGCCCCTGTGTAGCAAGTTGCTTTGCTGAAAGTTCCTACTGAGTAGGGACATGCTTCAAACCCAAACCCTCCACCCTAAACCCTAAACCCTAAACCCTCCACCCTAAACCCTAAACCCCAAACCCTCCACCCTAAACCCTAAACCCCAATAGTCTAAACCCTGCTCCTTTTATGTGACCGGGGTCTTTTAAGAAAACGCAACTCCCAAAGCGCTGAACCTAAACCTTGAGCCGTTCATTTTGGAGTCTAGGGTTTAGAGTTTAGGGTTTAAGATTTAGGGTTTAGGGTTTAGGGTTTAGGGCTTAGGGTTTAGGGTTTATGTAATGGTTTAAGGCTTCGGGTGATTTCTATCCCCCAATGATCCCTATGCACCTTGGATATCGAGGTTGGGAAAGAGCTGCTTGCCCAGATCCACCAGATCGTGGGTCGAGAGGTCTTCGATGTGCCCTGCCAGCCAGACTTTTGGGTTTAGGGTTTAGGAATTTTTGGGTGGCTTAGATTGGAGGCTCAGGGTTTAGGGTTTCAAGGTCCCTTTATCAAGGGGATATGAGAGTGATATGGGGAGCCCTTAACTCTAAACCCCCAAACCCTAGGCCCTAGCGTCTGGGGCTTCATGGCCTGCAAGCAAGTTGTTCTTTCCTAAGCCCTAAATACTAGCTTTCATTTTGTAATCCCTGTAGCTTCCATTTTCTTTTCCATTATCCCTATATAAGCCTACATAAACCCTAAGCCCTAAACCCTGAACCCTATAGTAGTTTCCATTTTCTTTTCCATTATCCCTATAATTATATGACCCTACATTACCCTAAGCCCTCAACCCCTAAACCCTAAACCCTAAAACCCTAAAAGGAAGGAAGGGATCCTTATAGTAACCCTACATTACCCCAGAATGCCTGCAAGCAATCCCTAAACTTTAAACCCTAAACCCTAAACCCTAAACCCTACTACAGTACCCCAGCAGGCCTGCAAGCAAGTTGTTCCTGAACTCCTCCGTGACCTTCATCGTCATCTCCAGGCGCTTACTCCCAAGCTTCAGTCCGCCGGAAAGGGCAAGAAAACCTGGGCTTTAGGGTTTAGGCTTGAAGGTTT